GCACAGGTATGGGGGATTTTCCTAGTTGAGACTCTAGATGCCCAAGGAAGTAGCACAAGGGCTCTTGGCCTCAGTCTCAGCTTCCTAGAGCCTGAGTGCAAGAGCACTGCTTTGCTGGGAGCAGGAGCCACACCTGTTCAGCTGCCTGGCATGGTGCTCACTCAGAGTGGATGAATGTTCGTTTAACTTTCAGGGCCCAGTTAGTGCCATGACTTGGCAGTCACAGCTGAGTGGTGACTCAGGTTTCCAAGGGCCTGGTATGACTTGGGCTGTGCCTGCAGCCCATTGCAATTGTACTGCCTAAGATGTTTCTGAGGTAGAGCAGAGGTAAGAACATTTATGAACTGCAGAGCAGGGGTAGAAAGAAGGGGAAGCCCCTTGCTCTGATTCTAGGTGCCTCTGTGTCCTCCTTGTGGGTTGCTAAATGGATCCTGTGCATGCCCGTTGGGCCCCATCCCCCAAGCCAGAAGGTGTTTTGACCAGTTGGCCCTACTTTTATGCTCTAGGTGGCTGACTTCAGGAGAACAAACAGCCCTCTAGGGTCCAGTTCAGGCTTTAGGGACTAGTGGAAGGAGTTAACAGTCTCCATTAGTTTAGCACCTTGTCATTCTTGAGACATTCTGTCTGTGTGCTGTGATGAATTTGAGGACTGAACAGTAGCAAAAACAGGCAGCTGATTTAGCACCTGCCTTCAGCTGGAGGGATGGACAGGCCAAGGTCCTAGGACCTGCCCGGCAGGCAGGTAGCTGTGTGCCCAGATACAGTATGGGTATCAGTAAACCCCCAACACTCTCCTGCTTGCAGTAGATGGGCCTGCCTGCTGCTGTTATTCAGTTAGCCACAAAAGCAGAGAGCATTTGTTCATTTGTTGAAAGACTAAATGAGCACATTTCTGACTTTGATAGGCCTTGCAAGTGGCTAGTGCTATTTCTGACAGGTGTGGCATGCTTTGTGGGGGTCATAGATTAAGTGGTTGTCCTTTGTAAAGACTGAGGGTTGCTAGTCATGGTGTAGACCTTGAGAGTTCATGTCCAGTTCACCTGAAAAATAGCAAAGGCAAAATGGAGGTGGGATTGTTTTCAGGTTGTTCAGGTCTTTTAAAGTCCTCAGCAGCACCATGACACAATTTTAGAAAAACATATTTTGTGGATGAAATTTCAAAGGGAATTTCCTTCATGGCATGCAGTGTGGTTGAGATACTTCACTTTAGTGCCATGGTCCTCAGCTCATGCTACAGAGATATTCTAGGTTGTTATTGTCATCAGTGAGATGAAAAATATTTGTAGGCTTTGAAAAGCATATATTTGCTTTAAATTTTTTTTGTTTCCTTTCTTATTCATTTTTTCTTCTGAAAACTTTGTATGAGGCCATCTTTTTAAAAATTAATTAATTATTTTTGGAGAGGTTATGTGCGCTCGCCAGAAAGAGAGACAGAAGGTGAGAAATCACCCCCCCCCCCAGGGGCCTAGAAGGAATGGGCACACTGCAATCCCTTCTCCTCCATTCTCCTCTCGGGATCTTGGGGACACACACACACACGCCCAGTGTGAGTTTAAGCCACCAGGTCCAGGACTCAAACTGCAGTTGACTACATGGGAGTCCAGTGACATAGCTTTTATGCCAACTGCTGGTTCCAAGGTTGGTTTTTTTTTTTTTTTAAAGAATTATTTATTTAATTTTTACCTATTATTATTATTTGATATTATTATTCCTTGATTTGACCAGAGAGAGAGAAAGCGAGAAAGCAAGCTACCAGATCCTGGACTTTAATGTGGTCAGCCATGTGGGAGTCCAGCATCTCAACCACCATGCCACCTACTGGCCCCAGTAGTGAGACCATCTTTAGTGAAAGAAAAGTGAGGTTGTCTGGGAGTATGGCAATGAAACTTGTCCAGAAACCACACTAATTGGGTTTCCCTCTCAGTTCAGGAATTTTCTTGATGATTTTTTGTGGAGTCAGCAGACATTGCACTGCACTGCACACACTCATCTAAGCTCTGGGTCCTTCTGGAAAAGAGAATACTTGGTTTCAAACCAGTAGTGAGCCGAACATTTGCAGATACCTTTGATATTTAGGGTGTGGCACACTTAAGGAAATGTTTGGTCATGCTTTGAGGCTATGGACAATCCAGGATTTTTTTTTTTTAATTTTGAAGAATGCCTTATTATGAGAAACAAAGAACTGTTATCAAAGTATTGAGCAAGTACCATGTGGCTCATTCCAAAAACATACAGACATTTTCCCTCATCCTAGACTCAGCTGTGCCAGAAATATTAGGCACTGCACCAGCCAGCATTCCCAACGTATTAGCAGTGTTATTTTAAAGGTGGTGTCTTTTTCTCCCCCAGCTTTCTGATATAGCTTCTTGAACTGTGTTGTATTTGTAACTCTAGTACTGAATTGATTTGGGACTTTGATTTGATCATTCAGAGCTTGAATTTCCTGGCTTTGCTTAACAGTAAAGTGAGTAACAGCAATCCTGACTCCCTTTCAGAGGGAAGTTTAGAGTACTAATGTAATGATGTTTGCATTGTGCTGTGAGCTCTTGCGCTCTTGAGCTGGACAAGAGGCCCAGGGATGACCACACATCTCTCATATGTATGGCCTGTGCCATCTGTGGTTATAGAGAAGGGCTTGGAAAGCATCCCAGAAGACTTTATAGGGTCTCCTACCTCAGGGATTTGGGGACAGGGGACAGGATTTATCTGGTGCCTTTTCCAGAGTGACTGCACTCCCCCACATCCCACCAGGCAGCACTCTACTGCTGTGCCAGTAGCAGACCTTGTGCTTGCCACCTCTTCATATGACATCCCTGTCCTGGTCTCATGCCAAGGCTGGAGGGTGCTGTCATACAGTGGCATTCATCCTCTCGAAAAGTGCTATTCACTCACATTTTCCCACAAAGTAGCAGACACACTTTTCAGAATCAAGATTTTCCTTTTTTAAGAACATTTTTCTTTTTCTTCTTTTTCTTTTTTCTGATTGTTATAAGGCACATGTGCTCGCTAGAGAAAGAGGACAGAGAGAGAGACAGAGAGAAAGAGAGCAAACTTCGAAGAGTGAGAAATCATCTCCTGGAGGGATGACTATGGCACAGTTCCCTCCTCTTTCATCCTCTTCTTGGGATTTTAGGTACAAATGCACATGTACCTAGCATGATTTTCAAGCCACCAGGTTCAGGACTCTAACCACAGAGTTGGCCATGTGGGATCCGGATGCTTTACCTCCATGCCACCTTCTAGTCCTCAAGATTGGTTGGTTAGAAAAAAATTTGATACCACAGAACACTTTGGGGGTGTTTTCATTTTGGTGATTTTACACAGATCTGCCTGCCCACAGAGCCATGAAGCCTTCTGGCAATGCTGCTAGTGGCCTTTGAAGCCCTGAGTAGCTCACCTCTGGGAAGTGAAAGCACTTGGTTCAGTGTGGGCTATTTTATTTTATTTTTTGCCTTTTTCCTTTTATTGTGGAGATGATACTGTTTCTAATATTTGGAAATCTACATTTTTATTTCATCAAATTAAAGTAACTCTACTATCAAGATTTTTAAAACAAAGCTGTACTTTTAAGGAATCTGTTTTTTTAAATGAAAGTAATTTTAGAACGAATACATTTTAACTCTTTTTCCCCCCAGGCCATGTCTCCATGTCTTGGCTTCATTTGGAAAGCATGGGTCCATTGGTGGCTGCATTGCCTATGACAAACTCAGCCCTAGCCCCAGTGGGGGCATTCTTCCTGTTGTAGAAATGACAATTTAGATAGGCAGTACTGTTTATAAGGATTTCAGCTCAAAGACATTCTCTCTCTCTCTCTCTTTCTTTCTTTCTAAGAGATTTTTGCCTTAATGTGTGTGCACTCATTGGAAAGAGAGACACACACAGTGAGTCGGAAAGTGAGAAATCACCTCCCAGGGAGGATGGCCATGCCACAGTCTCTTCTCTTCCATTCTCTTTCCGGAATCCTAGGCATGCACACACACGTGCCCGGTAGGATCTTAAAGCCACTAGAGCTGAAACTTGACTGTGGTCGGCCATGTGGGAGTCTAGTGACGTAACCACTACGCCGTCTGCTGCTTCCAGGATCCACTTTCTTAATGTTAATAGTAAAGTGAGTAATAGTGATCCTGACTCCGTTTAGCGTGATGGGACACACCCAGAGTGATTTCTCCAGTTGCACTGTCCCTCAGCACCCCTGCTGTCTAGGAAAGCCATGGGTTGAGGTTGTCTAGGCTCTTTGGAACTGCTCACCTGCACATCTTACTGAGAGACCTGTGAGGATGCAGACTGGTGGCCATCACACTCCCCCATTGTCTCACATCTGTGTGTTGGTCAGGGTAGCAGCGGTTTATACCAGTAGGGATTTAAAATTTGAACAGAACTTCTGTGGTGGTGTGGACAGTTTTCACCATTTACATGTGAAAAAGATAAAAATCTAGGGAAATGTGTGCCCATACCTAGACTTCTGCTGTGATGGCATGTATGCTTTTTATTTGCTTTGTGAAAGTTACCAACATCAATTTTAAGGCTATTTAAAATTAAAAATAACCTTGGAAATTCAGTTAGCTCCTCATTTATTCATGCACAATAGAATCTTGTTCTAACCGTGTGCCATGATTCATACCATTATCCTAAAATGTAACTATACCTCATACACAGGAAAATAGAATCTCCAAGACTGGGCAACAATGGTATCATTAGCAAGGACTGGGATTCTTTCCTCTGATCCCATTATTATAAACAGGGTTGCTGTCCAACTCTTACCTTTCTTATTGTAAAGACGTTCCCTGTAATTCATTCTTTGTGCTTGTACCTAAGATCTAAACCAGATCAGAACAATGGGAGAGTGACACATTCCTTTCCATTCAGAAAAAAAGTACTAATTCAGTCTTAATCTTTGTGTGTGCATTTACAAAGCAATATAAATGTTAACTCCTTTCTGAATTATGGTAGACATGAAAAATGTGTTTTTAAGTTCTGTCTATATATTTTATATCTTCTAGGGGCCCAGAAGACACTTGTTTTGAGTTTGGAGTTTTTCCTGCCATCCTAAGTTTCCCACTTGATTACCCATTGAGTCCCCCCAAGATGAGATTTACCTGTGAGATGTTTCATCCCAATAGTAAGTGCTTTTCTAAGTTGTTTTTGTGGTATCAGGAGAGGTACAGGGATTATGTAACCATGTGAAATCTATTGATGTAGATCATTAAAAATATTTATTGCTTGAACTTTAGCATGTTAGTCATATTGGTATTAGCACCATGACTTTAACTTGAGGGTCAGTTTAATATAGATAAAAGAAATTTTGAACCTAAAACTTTTGACTGAGGTGACCCAGCTGTCCTCCTTAGTGGGTTGTTGGAAAGAAATTTTAACATGGCAGTGTGCTCAGCTCTGAGTGGTTACACTTGCCTTTGTTACGCTGTGATTTTTTTTTTTTTAAGTTTTTGCTATATAGTGTGTGCATTTACCAGAGAAAGAGTGAGAAAGCAGAGAGAGAGAAAAATCATCGCCCCCAGAGATTGGGGAATGACCATGCAGCAGTTTCTTTTTGATTCTCTCAGGATTTTGGGCATATGCACACATGCACCTAGCATAAATTTTAAACTACCGATCTGGGACTTGAACTGCATAGATGGCCACTTCCATGCCATCAGCTGGCCCCACAGTGCGATTTTATTTAAATACACACACACCTATTTTTTTAGGAGAGTTTTTTGTCGTTATTCTTGTAGGCCACATGTGCTTGCCAGAGAGACAGAGACAGACAGAAAGTGAAAAATATCCCCAAGAGGGGATGTCCATACCACAATTCTTTCTCCTCCATTCTCCTCTCAGGATTTTGGGCACATACACATGTGCCTGGTGTGAGTTTTAAGTTGCCGAGTCCAGGTATTGAACCACAGTTGAATACGTGGGAGTCCAGCAATGTAACTGTTACACTATCTGCTGGTCCTTTCAATTATATTTTTAAGAGTTATTTATTTAATTTTACTTATTATTATTTTAAAATTTGCTATAGCACACATTAGAGAGAGAAATTGAGAAAGCAAGCTGCCAGGTCCAGGACTCAAACCACAGTCAACTGTGTGGGAGTCCAGTGCCTTATGGACTATGCCATCTACTGTCCCTCAGTGTGCTTTGTAATGGTGAAAAACTTTGAATTGGTTTAGATATTTTTTCTCCTAGGAGCAGCAGATGGTGTAATGGTTATGTTGCTGGACTCCCATGTAGTTGACTGTGGTTCGAAGCCTGGACCCGGCGACTTAAAACTCAGGCCAGGTGCATGTGTGTGCGTGCGTGCTCAAGATCCCTAGAGGAGAATGTAGGAGAAGGGATTGTAGTGTGGCCATCACCCTTGGGAGTCATTTCTCGCTTTCTTTTTCTCTGTCTCTCTGGTGAGCACACATGCCCTATAACAAAAATCTCTAGGGAACCAGCAGTTAGTGTAATGGCTATGTCGCTGGACTCCCACGTAGTCAACCGTGGTTCACGTCCCGGACCTGGTGGCTTAAAACTCACGCCAGCTGCATGTGCGTGCGTGCCCAAGATCCCGAGAGGAGAGTGGAGAAGGGATTGTGGCGTGACCATCCCCCCTGGGGGGTGATTTCTCGCTTTCTGTCTCTATGTCTCTTTCTGTCTGTCTGGCGAGCGCACGCACCCTATAGCGAAAACCTCTCCCCCCCCAAAAAAAAGAAAAAAAAATCTCTAAAAATTACAAAAAAAATTTCTCCTAAAATAAACATTACTAATTTTATTTTTAAAAGGTTTTTGCTATAGGGCTTGTGTACTCACCAGAGAGAGATAGTGAGAGAGAAAGTGAGAAATCACCCTCTGGGGAGGATGGCCATGTCACAATCCTTTCTCCTCATTCTCCTCTCCTCTGGATTTTGGGCACACACACACATATGCCCCACACGATTTTCAAGCTGCCAGGTCCAAGACTTAAACTGTAATCGGCTATGTGGGAGTCTAGTACCTTAACCACCAATGTTACCTACTGGCCCAAATATTACTACTTTTAAAAAGAGGAAAAAGTAAAGTAATCTAAATTAATTGTATTTCATCTTATTTGAAAGTATGTTCATTAGCAGTGATTGGGAATCCTGAACAGCTGTGGTTTTTATTTCTTCCTTTCACAGATGGAGGTTTATACATGAGAGAATTAATAAGGAAATGTGTTACGTTTTCATGATTGCATTTAAAGTGTTACTTCTCATAAGTGCTCATTGCCATTAATAGTCATGATCTTAAGTGCTATGGAGAAGAAAAGCAAGCAAGATACTCTATTTTGTGAAAATGAAGTATTGACTCATTTGAAACTAATACCTTATCCTGTATTTTTCTGCATATCAGTTAGCTAAAGGCTAATTTAATCGACAAGAAAATTGAAAGACTTTTTGAGCCTCCAACTTTTCTCTTAGTTTAAAAAATGAGCCCCCTTGGCACTCCCCTTTCCCTGTTCCACACCATCAAAGCTACCAATAGGTCACAGCTTGCTGGAAAGTCTTCAGGAACTCACCCTACAGGGCTGTGCTGCACTGTGGGACTGTGCTCTGCTCTGGGGTGTACTCTGCTTTGGGACTTGCTATCTGACCCTCACTTAAAACCCCTGGTACTGGTTGTGCTGCTGTCGAGGCCATGAATGTCCCCTTGGAGGGACCAACTGTATCCTCTTAGAAGGACACATATTTGCTCATCTTGGCATTGTTGCAACCCACACACAGAGCTGGTGCTCAGACAGCGCTTGTTTGAGAAGACCGGCTCTGAGCCCATAGCTTTGTGGACTACAGCAATGCCAGGCAATGAGAATGTGTGTCTTGTCACAGTTTCTCCTGCAGTGTGCTTTTGGGATTTTCCATAATAGAAAGTTAAGAAACACTATAGGTGAATAGATGAGAGCCAGTTGCAGAGGTCAGCATTTTAGGTTGATTAACCATGAAGTATCGCCATGAAGACGGTTATATGGTAATTATATGAAAGTAAGATCATGTTGAAGATAAATACATTCTTCAGAACAATCCCTGTGATGGTATAAGGGACAGATATGGCCAGTAAACCCTTGGAATGTTTGGAGTATGTACTAAATATGGTCTGATGATGTTATTTTTAGTATGTAGAGAATTAACATAAAGAGTGGATATGGGACCAGCAGTTGGCGTAATGGCTATGTCGCTGGACTCCCATGTAGTTGACCGCAGTTCGAATCCTGGACCCAGTGGCTTAAACTCATGCCAGGCGTGTGTGTGTACGTGCCAAAATGAGAATGGAGCAGAAGGGATTGTGGCATGTTCATCCCCACTGGGGGGTGATTTCTCCCTTTCTGTCTCTCTGTGTCTCTCTGGCTTTCTGGCGAGTGCATACGCCCTATAGCAAATTTTTTAATATATATTTTTTTAAAAGAGTGGATATGCATTGTTTTTCCATTGAGAAGAACTATTCTTGGGTCTGCCAGTGTTACAAAGATTGGCAAATTGGGGACCAGCAGTTGACGTAATGACTATGTTGTTGGACTCCCATGTAGTCGACCACGGTTTGAGTCCTGGACCTGGTGGCTTAAATTCACGCTGGGCACTTGTGCTGCATGCGTGCCCAAGGTCCCGAGAGGAGAATAGAGGAGAAGGGATTGAGTGTGGCCATCCTGGCGATTGCATGCATCCTATAGCAAAAACCTCTCTCTCTCAAAAAAAAAAAAAAAAAAAAAAAAAATAGATTGGCAAGTTGGCACACACTTGTGAAAAGCAGCTCAATAAGGTGGCTTTGGGCTGCTAGAATGCTTGCCCCCAGGAGCTCCTTGTCTGAGGGTGGTGGATGCTAGTAGGAGACCCTGCAGCTAAACATGAAGTCTCAGTGGAAAGTTTAGGAAGCACAGTAGTAGGTGCTCTGGTGTCTAGCAGAGCCAGCTGGGAAGCAGGAGGCAGGGCCAAACCCATCCAGGACTTTGGGCTTGTATTTACCCTAGGAGTATGGAGCCCATTTAAGGATTCTGAGTGAATATTGGGGTCGGGGGTGGAGTGCATGACTAAACCCAGAAGGTGGAAGGAAACCAGGGAAGCCCTGGCCATCTTGGCCTGGGGCAATGATGTAGTAGTTTGGCACTTAGGGGAGAGACATGGTGGGTTCCTTTGAGGTTTAAGTGTGGAACTGATGGGACCTGGCCAGAGGGAAGTACAGGCTATGCGCTTTTGTATGTTCTGGAGTGCTCAGTATCACCTTGAGTATGTCAGTGCTACTGAGATTGACAGCTCCCTATGAGGGTCACCTCTCTCCTGCTCCCACTTCCATAGCAGAGGGAACTGTGAGAGTATCTGGGGATTCAGAGTCCACGTGGAGGCTCTCAGTGGTCATCGATGTCCATTCCCAATAAGCTCCTGACTCCCTAAACTAATTTTTTTTTTCTTTAAGTTTGCAAGAAGGCCTGCATGCCTGTTGGAGAGAAAGAAAGGAAAAACAAGGCATTCCTCATAAGACATGGCCACAGCATAATCCCTTCTCCATTTCTCTCTCCCTTTGGGATTTTGGGCATGCATGCACACGTGCCTGGTGTGTTTCTGAAGCTGTTGGGTCCAGGACTTAAACCACGTGGTAGGACATGTGGCTTCCAGCTGTTTTAATTCAGGTCAGGTCATAGGCTGGTCTGGCTTTGTTATTTTACAAATTATTCTGTCGCAGCAGAGTTTTATATATACTCAAGCTGGATGTTTAAGTATATATTGAACCACCTAAGGATTCCAGAAGTGTATATAAAAGAAAAGTAGTAGATGGTTCTGACTTGTCTGAGAGGAGTTGAAAATTCAATTCTTGTCGTATCTCAGGTGTCTCACTAGTGAACGTATTTGATGGGAGAAAGATTCAATTTAGACATGTAGGCCTCCAGATCGTGCTGGTAACTTTTGTATTTGAGTAAGTTATCAAGAGCAATTTTGGGGCCTTTCTTTTTATGGATATTTGAATAATTCCTCTCACCTTCTTCTTAGCCATGTGAAAAAAAAAGTTTTTTAAAGAGAGATTTTTGCTATGGGGCATGTGCACTCACCAGAAAGAAGCAAGAAATCATCCCTTGGGGGGATAGCCATGCCACAATCCCTTTTTCCACAATCCCTTTTTCTCTATTCTTCTCTCAGGATTTTGAGAGAAGCCTGGCATGAGTTTTAAGATGCTGGGTTTGGGACTTGAACCACAGCTGACTTTGCGGGAGTCTAGTAACGTAACCATTACATCATCTGCTGGTTTCCCATGTGAAATATCTTTTTTTTTTAGAGGTTTTTGCTATAGGGCACATGTGCTCGCCAAAAAGACAGAGACAGACAGAGAGATAGAAAGCGAGAAATCACCCTCCCGGGGGGATGGCCACATTGCAATCCCTTCTCCTCTCAGGATCTTGGGCACGCACGCACACGTGCCCGGCGTGAGTTTAAGCCACTGAGTCTGGGACTCGAACCATGGTCGACTACATGGGAGCTCAGTGATATAGCCATTACACCAACTGCTGGTCCCCATGTGAAATATTTTTATAAAAACTGTTTTTACCTTGTCCAACTCAGGGATTTAATGGTGAAATTAGGAATACCTAAGAAACTAGGTCTGAAAAATACTTTGAGTAATCCTAATTGTACTACATATTTTGGCAAACTATTTATCAGTAACCTTTCTTTTTAGTCCTCTTACATATAATGCTGAAAATATTCCATTTGGAGGTAGAATCATTCTACAACCAGTTGGAATGGATGGGCCAACCTAGAGCCCCTGCAAGTTAGTGAGCGGCCCTACAAGGCTCAGACAGGCCCGCCCAGACCCGTGCAGACGTGAAGTGTGACGCGAGGCCTGGGGTTATGCTCCAGCTGTGCAAACAACGTGGTTTCTGTCTGCGGCCCTCTTTCTCTTTATCTCTGGAGCCTGCCCAGGCGTGGGTTGCCCCAGGCACTGTTCCTGCGCTCACCTGGCCGTCTCTGACCCTTGCAGTCTACCCTGATGGAAGAGTCTGCATCTCCATCCTGCATGCACCAGGCGATGATCCCATGGGTTACGAGAGCAGCGCCGAGAGGTGGAGCCCTGTGCAGAGTGTGGAGAAGATCCTGCTCTCGGTGGTGAGCATGCTGGCAGGTAACGCTCTGGCCTTGTGTTGTTGCTGCACACATGTGTGGCTTGGGATACCATCGGGCCCAGCATGCTGGCCCAGGAGCTCCCCCCACCGAATCCTGTTTAACCCAGTCCAGTTTATAGCTCACTCTTAGCCATTCGTGATGCTTTAGGTATACTGCTTTCAGTTCATGTTATTTGTATACATTTTGCAAGTGTAAGCATATTTTTCGTTCAATAATTTTTTTTTAAGTTTGTTTACTTATTATTATCTTTTTTTTTTTTTTTTTTGGGGGGGTTTTTGCTTTGGGGCGCATGCATTGCGCTATGGGGCGCATGCACTTGCCAGAAAGACAGAGAGAGACAGAGAGATAGAAAGTGAGAAATCACCCCCCGGGGGGATGGCCACGCCGCAATCCCTTTTCCTCCATTCTCATCTTGGGCATGTATGCACAAGCGCCCAGTGTGAGTTTAATCCACCAGGTCCAGGACTTGAACCACGGTTGGCTACATGGGAGTTCAGCGACATAGCCATTATGCTAACTGCTGGTCCCAAGTTTGTTTACTTATTTTGAGAGAAAGGGAATAAGAGGGGCACCCTAACAGCGTCTTCATATGATGGTCCATCCCCCAGCCTTAGCCAGCCAAGACTACAGGCAATTGGACGTGCCTAGTGGGCACCAAGAGATTTTGGGATGTAAACTCCCTCTTCATGGCAGAGCAAGGGTCTGTCGTGCCACCACAGCCGGCCCATAGTTACAGTTATCAGAGGCTGTCTGGTGTTGTGTGTCATGTTGCCTACCATAATGAGCCATTCTCTAATCTTGGGACTTGCTGTGCACCCAGTAGGACTGCTATATGCCATGTGCTGTGCTGGCTATCAAACTCAGTGTGTTAGGGGCCCCAACTTCAAGCCCCCACATTATATGGGAACTTTGGAAATCCACCAACAGTGTCAGGTGGGATCACTGCAGGAGAAATGGGGACTTGCTGGTTGAGTGAGAGAGAACGAGGGCCTACAGTTGCAGTTGGGAGGGCTCGATGTACAGCTGAGGACTCACAAATTGGTGTGCACTGACTCCTGTTTCTTTCTCTGAGGTCACGAGTACAGAGGGAGCACGATTCTGGGAGGAGAAGAAGGATGAATGGGGGATCAGCAGTTGGCATAATGGTTATGTTGCTGGACTCCCATGTAGTCAATTGCGGTTTGAGTCCTGTACCCAGTAGCTTAAACTCAAGCCGGGTGCGTGTGCGTGCATGCCCAAGATCCGAAGAGGAGAATGGAGGACAAGAGATTGCGGCGTGACTATCCCACCTGGGGGGTGATTTCTTGCTTTCTGTCTTTCTGTCTCTTTCTGTCTTTCTGGCGAGCGCACGCGCCCTATAGCAAAAACCTCTTCTTAAAAAAAAAGGATGAATGGGACATGAGGCCTCTGTCCACTTGAGGCCATGTAGAACTGATGGCTGTAGGAGCTACTCATTGAGAGGTCAGATGTGGTAGTGAGGCTGTAGAATCATTTCTGAATAAAGCAGCATGTGACTCCATAGACCAAGGGTAAAGTGTAGATAGAGAGTCCTCAAAGGACCCTGAGGAACCAGGGTCTAGAAAACTAGCAAAATGCGAATTGAGAAGAGATTGTCCTGAGAGCTATGCTGGCGGGAGGCTTGCAGGTGGGCTCTGACACAAGACCACACAGTCCTGGGGGCTACTGGAAGTATCCAGTGGAAGGGTCTAGAGTTGTTACACTGCCTGACACATACCTGTCTTTCACGTGCCAGGTGGGTGGAGGTGTGGCTGTTCTCAGGTGGTAGCCATGAGTTATACCTCATAGACAACCCTATTCCAAATCTGAGCTTGCTCGTATTCTGACCTGCTCCTCTTGGAATCCTGTCTTTGGGCTCTGAGCTGTGGTTTTAGCCACTTACTGTCCTTTGTCATGGCTTGCACCCCCGGTCAGCCACTGGGCAGCTGTGGGAGCAGAGGGTCCTAGCCTTGACTTGTGCAGTTGGCCCAGTTAAGGGTCAGATGACACATCCTCAAGAGGCCTGTGACCCTAGTCATTCAGTCCCCTCTGTCCTGTTCTTCCCTCTGTACACTCATGGGACTTGGACCAGGTGTTCAGGGTGTGTTTCTGGTCTGCCCACCTGTCTGGTTGGCACACTTTGGGACTCCTTCTCACTTCTGTTTTCCAGGACATGCCCAGTGCTGAGTGCCTGGTGCCAAGAGGGTATTAAGGGGAGATTGTCTCGGTGGGGCTCAGACCCACTGGCCTTCTCTGCCCTTATCTATTCCTCTCAGGCATCTTGACTAGTGCCACCACCACACCATATAGCTGCCACCTACTCCCAGCACTTTGTCACTTGCTTCTGGCAACCTTCTGTGCTTCCCCACCTTGCCCACAGTCCTTCCTGTCTCCCCTGTGTCTTCTGACTTCAGTTCTGTGGTAAACTACTGGCCTTCTGGCAGGCTGTGGACCAGGTTGCCTGGGGTCAGATGTCCAGCTCAGGCCTATGATTATCCTTTGGGAGGAATTGGGAGAGGGCATTTGTGGCAAGAAAGACCCTGTGGGAGGGAAGTGACCACTACAGAGCATCTTCTGAAGGTGAATTTGTCCTCTGGGTCAAAACTGTAAAGCTTCGGGCAGACCTCTAAGAGGCCATTGCTCCTGCTCTCAGGGCAGACACTTCGAGGACACACAGGAGTGAAATGCCTATGTCGGCCAGCTTCAGGTTAGTCCGTCTCTCTCCCTCAGGGAAGACTCCCCTCTCCCCTTGTTGTTTAAAAGGCTGACTCCTTCCCTGGTATATCACACACATTGCATTTTTAATTTTTTTTTTCTGGCATGTATCGCTGGAGAGGTCTATTAGCATTTTTAAGTGAAGTGAAAGATATTGCCAACATGCTTACTCTGGAGACTCCCATTGTAAGAATAGTGCTCTTTTTCTTTCAGAGCCCAACGATGAAAGTGGAGCTAACGTGGATGCTTCCAAAATGTGGCGGGACGACCGGGAGCAGTTTTATAAGATTGCCAAGCAGATCGTGCAGAAATCTCTGGGGCTCTAAGACTTCTCAGCACGCGCACACACAGCCGTGCCCAGGTGCACATGTGTGCACACACACACCACCAGGCAGTTCTAATGTGCTCCTCCAGAATACTTTGTGACAATGATACTCTGTGCTGGTACCAAAAAAGGCAAACTTGCAGAACCGTGGCATCTTGCTTTGCTTACCTTCCCACCCCATGTTGGTACTTCTTCTGAAACGATGACTCATATAGAATAATGACAGCCTCCTACAGGTTGGAAGTAGGTTGTCTGTGCCATCATCACTACCTCGTCCAGCCAGTGTGCCCACACCCCCACAGTCCTCACCCCCCCTCTAGAGTACAGGGTCGTGGATCCCTTCCCTCCTAGAATTAGGAGGGCTGCTACAGACTAGGTTCCAGGGGATATCGGAATACCAGCCATGCACCTTCCTGAGAGGTGGACCTTTAGCAAGAGCACAGGGAGTGCTAGCGTGTAGGCGGTGCCTCCTCCTCTGCCCTAGGAGGGGTTCTGACTTCCTTTCTTGTTTCACATTTTATAAGCAGAGGTTTTTCTTAAAATCTGGTTACATCTTTTTTATTTGTTGTGTATCATAAGCTGTTTTACTTAGAAATACTTTCAGAAAATACTTCTTTAAAATGTGGATTATTGCTAGGTGCAGAGGTATGGACCAGCTCCCAGCTTCATGGTGGGGCCGAGGCAGTAGGATCTCCAGTTCAAGGCCAATCTGGGTAACACAGAAGACTCTGTCTCTTTAACAGTAAAAAAAAAAAAGTAGATTAATGAGAAATGGGTATGTAGAAAAGAAGGTGATCTCTGGTCATAAAGACTGGTAGTATTTTCCTGATCATATTTTCCATGATTTAAAGTCTTAGTTACTAGTGCATTACTAGAACAGGTACAGGTAAAATCTTCAAAGTTTTAGTGCATTGTGGTTGCACCAAAATTTAACTGTTGGCATAGAATCATTCTTTGCCATGCGGGTCAGAAGGGAGTCTACTGTCTGTCAGCACAGAGCACGGTGGTGTACCTTACCCTCAAATCGAGCAGTGCTATGGAAGTGGGCACAAGGACCCAGGCCCTAGGGGGCACAGAGCACTGTGTGTGGTGTACAGCTTCGGCACACCTGGCTTTTCAGACATGGCCAGCTCAGCACAGAGCCAGGAGAGTACATATAAGCAATAACATATCTGTTGCATGCAGAATTAAATCCTGACCTGTCTCAGACAGGTTAAATTTAAATAGGAATTTATATTTTTTAAATAAGGGACAGTCTCAGAGACATACAGTAAACTTCATGCAGTCCTGCCCTGCTGGACTTCATCCCCTGCCCTGTTGTGATATGTCTGGTGGTCACCTGTCTGTCTCCTCAAGCCTCACACGCGGTATCAGCAGTTGCTGGTGAAGGAGTCTTGGTGCTGGGCTTCTGTGAGACCAGAGCCTGCCCTTCTCAGAGGGAGTCATTTTGAACAAGTATAAATTCAGTTCAAGAACTTGAATTTGGAAGGGGATGGGAAGATAAAAGGTATTGTACCTAAATAGTATTTTTAGGCACCTTAAATGAGATGTAGCCCTTTCTGCTCAGTGAGGAAAAAAGTGGTTTGTGGGATAGATGGGAGCCAGGCATGACACCAGCTTGGGGGCCATGGGGGTGGGGCGTGGGGACACTGTCCTCATAGGTTTTTGTGGGAGTGTGAGGGAGGAGAGGCAGTCTCTACAAAAAAAAGTATTTTTATTCATTTGTATTTATTAAATGAAAAAAAAAAAGCCCATGGTGTTCCTATTCTGTGGTGGAATTTAATTACTCTGTTAAAAATAAAGTCATATATTTTCCCCCTACTGACAATATGCTTGTCTTGTGTTTTTATTTTCTTGTGTGACTATGAGACCCAGAGGGTTGACTGCTGTAGCAGATCCTTGGGCCACAGGGCCTGGGGCAGGAGCTCTGTCCTAAAAACTTGGTAGATCTGGAAATGTGCTTCTCTTCGTTTCTCATTTTCCTCTCCTTCATTCTCTGGAATTACTGGGGTTCTCAGTGAGGGTCTGTGACAGGGTTTAGGAGGACTGTGAACTTAGACGTAGAAGATTGACAGGTTCACTAACCTCTAACCTGAAGTTTTGTTTTTTTATTTCGGTCATAGTTACAGGCAGCAAACAACAGTCCTACTAGTGGTGCTTGTAATTTCTCACCAACGGAAACTGGCAAGGTGTTGGGAATCTTAATTCTGCAGGACTCAGAACACTTTATCCTAGTCCATACTTCAGAGTTACACTATTAACAGACCTACCTCAAAATCTTGTGATTGTTTTTATGTTCATAAAGAGGCACCGTTCCTGCCTCACAGCTGTGTGATTACTGTCTTGGTAACTGATGCAGTTGGCTTTCCTTTGTAACCCTGTGTCTCTCTGTATTGACTTGAAGATGTTCTGGGCTGGAGTCCCCAGGTGCTGCTCCCTGAGCTCTGTCTGGCCTTACCTTGGTGTTGTGTTCTGGGCACGTGGCTCGGCACGGTCTCCTAGTGGCTGCCTTTGTCCAGTGTTTTCAGTGTCAACACTTGGTGATACTGAGTGGAGAGTCCCCAGGACCCCCAACTGGGAAGGAAGATTGAGTCCATGCTTGTACTCACAGCTGGTGTTACTGCAGTGGAAGGACACAGCAAAGTCTCAAGGGACGTGGTGATGGAGTCCCAAGGAGACCAGCATAGGCTTCCAGCCTTCCCAGGGTATCATCCAACATGTGCCCAGTCCTCAGCAAGGTGCTGTGATGACACAGGGAAGCTCAGCACCCTGAGGTCACTGGGGACATCCTTGGCACAGGGAGGAAAGATGATTCGGGGTTGCCAGGAAGGGCAGGATGGCCACATGCAGGGTTGATTTTGAACCCATGCCCTGGAGAGACAGGGTTGGGGGCTGTGGGGAGTCAGGGTGCTGTGGGTGGGGCTGAAACTGGGGCACGGGGCCTGGCACCTGGGCTGTCATCCAGAGGGGCATCCCAGGTGGAGGTCTGGTCACACAGGGAGCTGGCATGGCCACTCCGATGCAGGGTGGTAGGCTTCATTGCAAAGGGGCATGGTGGGTACAGGTCCTGGCTGAGCGTTTCTGGGTTGTGTTCTGACTCCCTTCCCAGCACAGACCCAGCTCAGCCACCATCAGCTGCTGCCCCACCTCCCTCCTGTCCCACCATGAGTCTCCCAGCCCCTCCAGGCCCGCAAATTTTGCCTTCCTGCGGTTTGGTGCCAGCCTGTGTCCTGCAGAAGAAATGCTATACAAGGTCATCCTGCAATCCTTGCAGCCCCTGCCCATGGCTGCACAGTGGTGTCTGTGTGCCTCTTCTGCCCTCGTTCCTACACCTGGTGGGCCAGAGTGGCTGCTGGCAGTGGTAGGACCCCAACCTCGAGTTGGGAGTTCCTGAGGGCAGCGGAGGTCCTGCCACACATCCCTCCAAGTGCTTGCATGTCCACTTATCAAGATAGTCCCCCAAGCCACTGGCTGGAGGGACCCCATGTGGCATCCTGAGTCAGTGTGAATCATGAAACACCTCCTACCCCACCCAGGAGACCACAGCCCCGCTGCCTTCCAGGGGTGTGTTGGGTTCCAGGTCAGCTGTCCACAGCACCTCCTTTACCTCAGCTGCTAGAGCCCACACTAACTTCTCTCAGGTGGCCCTGCCACCCCTAGCCTCCGCTATTGACTGTCACTGCTGTGAGCAGAGGGATAGGAGCACCATGGATCAACCCTCAGCACCCTCTGCTCCTGGAATCCCTGGGAGTCCATCCTTCCAGTCTCCATCAACCCAGAGAACAAGTACTTTGTTCCTACTCAGCCACTTTCCTTTCTGCTGAGTCCAGGTTCTCTTCCTTCTGTGACCAGGAGTATCTTCACCCTGCCCTCAGCCACCACTGTGTGTCCTGGTGGGCCCTGTCTACCAGCACTGTCCTCCGGGGTGGTGCACTGGTCATTCACTTGTCTCTTTCCTAAATTCCTCATTGGGACACCAGGTCTAGATCATGCAGGCTGTGGTGAGGTTCAGGCTTGGTGCCTGTGATTTCCTGGAGGAGTGCTCATGGGTGAGACAGCCTGTCGTTCTCACTGGTAGAAACGAGAATGCATACAGCAGAACTCTTGCCATCATGCATGAAGCTAGGAAAACGTAAGTGAAAGGGAACCGGGTTTCAGGTGTATAGACCAGAATGTCCAAACTCCCCTAGAGTCTGGAGTTGACCAGGGCCCTGTGGTCAGTTCCAGCTCCATGGGGGTGATGTGAAGGAGAGCTGAGCACTGAGTGACTGCGAGTATGTCCTGAGCAGTGGGCAGACCCTGTGGAGTGCCACAAGCCCTCCCCTGACGGGTGTGCCCTGTGCTGTGGAAATCCTTCAGTAGTTCCCAGAAGTGGGTGCCTTTGTAGCCTGGAGTTTTCTGCAGCTTTGAGATAGACAAAATGTAAGATTATTAGGTGGATTTTTATTTTTAAGTTTTTTCTTTCCTAAGCTAGCTAGCCAGGATCATGTGCCTATCTTGCTCACACCAACTGTGGATCTGAACGAACCCCAGACCTTCCATCTGATTCTAGTATCATGCAGCAGCATTTTGCCGCCTGCTCTACCTTGTCTGGGCCCAAGGGTTCTATTTAAAGTTTTCTCCCCTGTAGTCTCAATCTTTCCAGGATGGAATGTGGATGTCTTATGCTGCCTTTGCACCTGGCCAGCAGCACCAGACCTTGCTCAGGACTGAGTTAAGTTGTGCTGTCCCCTCCCTAGGGACCCCATGTTGGATAGAGGTAGTTGTGGGTGGCTGTACAGGAGGGAAGGGCATGTGGAAAGGTGGGCTATGAACTGAGGTCACAGAGGATGGAAGAAAGGTGCCACAGGGAAGGGAGCCTAGTGAGGGTGGAGAGCAGGGTGGTCAGAATGGGTTGAGGCTGTGAAACCTCGTGTTCCTCAGCCCGTTGCTGCTGCTTCTGCCACTAGGCTGTGCTTGGTAAGCTGGTGTCCACCAAGCATAGGCCAGCGTACCTCCCCACCGAGGCCCACATGGACCCCCACGTGGAGTCCAGCTGCCCAGTTCTCTTTGGGTGTCCAGAGTTGAGGACCTTCTGCTCAGTGGTGCAGAGGAGTGAGGGCTGTGGGGTATGCTCAGCAGGGCATCCTGGGCCCACAGCCCTGCCAGGCTGATGGCAGGGCTCACCCAGGTGGGGGCAGACAGAGCCTGTCTAGGGCAGTAGACTTGGGGGTGCCAAGGACAGGACACGTGGTCTGGTCCTGCCCACATTGGGCAGAGACTGAGATGTGGCCTGGGTGGGTGGCTCCCTGCTGCACAGTGGCTCTGGTGAGGTAGACCTGGAGGTTATAGCACAACTCCAACCAGCCTGCTGGTGCTTGACCTGGCTCAGACTCCAGTGGCTGGGTCACCTGGGCAAGCTAGGTAACCTCTCTGGGCCCTTGTTTTCTAATTTGTGGAACTGGTATGATGGCAGTAACACTCCCACCCCACAGAGTGGTATCAAGGCTATCAGTACAAAGCTTATAGGACGTTAGCTGGGGACAGATCAGAGCCTTTCCCTGTGCCAGGCTGCTGACGGTAGGTAGGCTTGCTCCTGCCCTGTCTGGCCCTCCTCAGGACAGGTTCCACTGTCTCAGGCCCTCCTTGTCCAGCATCCCTGGGCTATATTCAGCTGTCTGGTCCTACCAGTCCACAGGTGGCAGTGGGCACTGGTGTGCCAGGAGGAAGTGGTCAGAATGTGTCACAGTGGTGACATTGTCCTGAAAGGAGGGGATATGGAATTACCTCCTAAGGCTTGATAAGACCCCTGGGTGCCTCCCTGCCCAGGCCTGTGCAAAGGGTCACTCTTCCTTTGGGGCCTGGTCAGGGTCAACAGCTCAGCATTTGGGTATGTGGCTGGGGAGTCCAGACTCATCTTGACCAACACCTGTCCATTTCTAGCAGGAAGCTGACCACACTATAACAACACCTGACTTGGTGTGATCCCCCATCCAGCTTCACTTTTCTGTCACAGGTTCCCAACCAGGACTGCTCGGCCCCGGGGCTGGGGACACAGTGTGCAGACAGTTCTTGTCACAGGGAAGGGTAGTGTGCTATTGGCCTCTAGTAGTCTAGGGCTGGTGCTTCCTAGCATCCTCTATCAGCCTGGCCCTAAACCTTTGCTGTGCCTGATCACCCAGGCCTGGGCTTATTGTGGACAAGATGCAGTTGGTGAGGGGAGCAGAGGAGGCAGTGCCGTCCATGACACATAGGACACTGCGCTCTGGAGGGCAGGGAGGTGAAGACGGATCCACGCCTGTGCACTCACACACATGCACACCTACACACACCTGCACCCACACATATGCTGGGACACCAGCACCCATGCACACCTGCATGCACACACACACACACATGTGCATGCACTTGCAAAACCAGCACTTACGTGCAACACACACACCCACCCCCACACCTGTGCCTGTGCACGTGCGGGCCTGGTTGCACAGTTGTGTGCATCTTGTGTCGGGCTACTGAGTAGAGACAGTGAAACTCCCAGCTCTCCAGGGAACTCCAGGCAGGCGTCCCGGCTAGTTGCTATGGATGCACCTCTGAAAATCAGCCTGGGAATTAGTAGTCTGAGGAAGGAGTCCTCCTCAGTCATAAGCCCACCAATTCTCAGGTCCCAGACTCAGACTTAATCATACCTCTGAGTGCCCTGGTTCTCCCGTGCTAGTGGCAGGCTGTGGAACTTGGCTTCTGTGGCCGAGAGAGCCAATTCCACTATACATTTCTCCCTCTCTCCCTGAAGAGCCCTAACACAGTAGTTTTTTGATCCCATTCTTTAATGAATTGGGACTTTCTTTCTTG